GTGACAGCTGGCAGGGCTGAAAGAGATAGCACATGCTGAAAAATAACATGAATTCTCTTTCTGATGTATTTGTTTTAATTACTAATAGTGCAAATAATTATAATAATCAGCCCCTGTGCCTTTGTTCTTGCCGCTTGCACAGTACTTAAAACACAATGGGAAGAGAAATAAATAAAGCACGGTCTAGAAAAAGGCCTACGCCCTGCAAACAAGCAAACCAGAACTGTTGTCCACCAGGCTATGCTAAATGAAGTGAAACTTGTCATAACGCCCAATAATTCTCCACCCTTCCTCAGCTGAAGGCTTGAGGTTAAGAAAGGATTTGTGACACACTTGCACTGTTATCAAAAGCAGATGATGGCTGAGGCCACATGATGAGGCGGGGAGAGGAAAGGCTCCAGCACTGCCCTGTGGGCTCTGTGCTTTAAAGAAGCAGGGGGTTTTCACAGGATAGAGCCCAGCTTTACAAGAGCATCCTGACTCAACAGACCAGACGCGCTGCTGGTTTCCACTGCAGAGCAGGAGCACCACAGGCCTGATTAATTTTCTCGGGAAGCCCCCCTCTATCTGGAAGGAGTGAATGGAACTGCACTGTGCTAATGAAAAGCAGAATTAAAGACTTCGGTCTGGTTTGTATGTTAATTGCTTCCCATGCCCCAGAAATGTGCTGTGCTGCCCTTGCAAAGGAATCCAGTTAACACAATCCTATTCCTTGACCTGCGTCCATACTGATGCAGCAGCCAGAGGGAGAAACGTTTGGCGAGCACGGTGTTTGTTAAATGGCAACTTCTAGCACAGGAAGGAGCAAACCCAAGTTCAGAACCAGAGCCTGCCTTCCCCTGGAGCTAGCGTGAGCAGATGTGCTTAGTTCTGCGTTCTAGTTTGGGCCTGTCTCCATTGCAAACCAGTTGCTTTACGGATTTCACTGTCAGCAGGTTAGGGGAAAAAACAACAGGATTTGACTGAAGAAAAAGGGCCTTGAGTCAGTGGGGAAAAGAAAAAGCTCTTCAAGCCTGTAAGAAGGTGTAATATCTTGGGAAGTGGCAATGATACAGAACCACTCGACAGAAAGTGTGCAGATCAGCTTAAATACAGACCACAGTTTCTCCCACCCTAGCATTCAGTTTAAACCCCCTGCCAAGGAGAATGTAGCACAGAGAGGAAATTGAGGGGGCTCAGCCTTTATGGCAGAGGCTTGTGTAAAACAAAATCGCAGTGGGAGGGGATCCATTAGGACCGAGGTCTCCTGGCAGGGGACAGAATGCTCCGCGGTTACTTTTTGTTTGAGACTTGCTTAAGAAATGTATTTAACATGTTCTTAAAGGTTTAAATAGTCGTTATTAACACCCCCGGTACAAGCTGACACTTGGCCCCTGAGCAGATGCACAGCATGGGGGACTGGCTGAGAACAAGCAACCTGCAGAACGGAACATTGTATTGTTGGGCTGGAGTGAGTTCAAGTCAGAGCTGGTGGTACCTCAGGTTTGCTCATAGTTCATCCCTAATGAAAGAATAAATGTAAAAAGCTTTCAATCAGTACCCTTTGATTCCTGCCAGCATTTCTAGGCGCTCACACAATGAGACCTAATTTCCTAAGGGGAGGAAAAGCAAGACGCCACTCGTGTTTGTACAGCTTGTTTAAAACGTGACACCTATTTACTGCTGCATTATTTCCTATTAGTCCCAAAGGATGGGTTTAATATTTCTTGGTGAGGAAATTTTCTGCATTGCGAACACAGATCATGGGAAAGTAATATTCCTTTGTGACAGCAATGAGGTGAAGTCATGAATAATTTAAGGTTTTGTGCTTCAGCCTCACCTTGGAAAGCTTGGGCAATTTGAAAATGTGTTTATCGCTGTGATTCTGGCAGCTGGAGGAAGGAGAAGAGAGAGAGGAAGAGGAGGAAGGGGTGGAGGCAGTCACACCTCCCTGCCTGCTCTCCTTCTCACTGGAGGGACACACTGGTGTCCAGGGCTGTTTCCCCAGGGGCTGCAGGAGGGTTCCTGCAGCAGAGGAGCACTTGCTCGCTGTGGAGAGATGGTGGTGCTTTGGGATTTATCCAGTTTGCTTCAGATGCAGGATGTACTCATCAAGAGGGGGAGTCTCTCGATCGCAATTAACAAAATTCCCTTTCTAAAGCTGCTTCCCCCAAGTAGGGTGCTTCTTGGGTGACATGGTTTAGTGTGAGGTGTCCCTGCCCATGGCACGGGGTTGGAACTGAATGATCTTAAGGTCCTTTCCAACCCTAACTATTCTAGGATTCTATTCTATGATTCTATGAGTGGTGTGAGCCACACCTGAAACAATTACTGTGGAAAGAGATCATGGTTCTGACCTGGCATTGAACACTGAGGAGAGAATAACTAAGCCTTACTTCTCTGCAGAGGTGCAGAAACCAGTTGCTGTCTTTTTTCATGTCCACATGTAAACATGTTCGCCTTAGTCTGGGCCCAAATTATACTCCTGGTTAGTAGTGTGAATTCAGAGCAATGCAGTGATCTCTGGTTTCAGGTTCATGACAGGAACCTCTGTCTCCCCTGAGCCTAATCAGTATTTCTACTGCTAATAGTTAAAAGATAGCTGGCACTCTCCCGTTTTTAGCAGGGGAATGTTTAGCGTTCTTATTTTACCACCTCACTTACTTAACAAAGCTAACAAACAGCCTGACTTTTGGGAGAAAGGATTTTTGCTTTAAAGAGGCTTTATAGTCTTGGCCAGTGAAAAACGTAAGATATGTCCACAAAATACAAAGAAACGAAATCCCCATATGAAGCAAGGGGGTTACATGTGGAGCAGATGCCTGGAGAAGGCTGGGGTACAGATTCCTGGCATGTCAAGTAACGTATCTGAATTGTTTGCATTGATTTTTCCAGTAGTAGCTTTTGAAAATACCTACTGCCCTCCGGCCAAAATGGGAACTCTTAAACAGGAATATAAATGTCATTTTTTGATTATATAAATGCCATATTCTGGAAAGCCAGAACAAAGATGCCCAAATAGAGCAATTATTTAGATTGCTGATTATGTATTTGACGTGATTGCGAAAGGTCACTTGTCTCTGGCTGAAGCAAATAGAGACCTGGGATGATCTCATCAGCTGTAAAGCACAGTGAGGTCAGGTCTAGTTCATCTATGGAAGGAAGACTTCAAAAGAAGAAAAACCTCTTGAGCTGAATTAAAGTGATGACTCTCATCTGAGTCATTTCTGATCAGTCATTACTGATCAATTCTTGCAGTGCTGTTGCCGGCCCTGCGCTGCTGTGGTGGGAGCTGCTGCACAAGCAAGCCACAGAGAGCAGCATTTTTGACCTCATGCACTGCAAACTGACAGGGTCTTAGCACACTGGCCTGGCTCACTTGCAGCCAAATCAATGGCAAGCTCTCAGCCTGTGTTAGAGCAAAGGTGCAAGTCAATGTGGTTTCTCCCATCTCCTACCTCATGTTGCATTGTTGTTGTGCACTGTTTAACTACTGCGGTCATGCTGTACTTGGGGGTGGGTTCCCTGAACATTGAGTCTGCAGATGTGTTAATGATGCAGGCACTGATTGAACAGGAGAGTTTGTGTCTATAGATAACAGCAGTGTCACAGCACAGCAATTCTAATTAGAGGGAATATATCGTGGCTGTTCTTTCGGTGTGTGTAGAGCGCAAAAAGGAACTTTGGGTTCCTTCAGGGCACATACGCTTGCTGCACCTCACAATGATACGGACAGGGTTCTTGGACAGGTAGCAAATGTTGATGTGACACAGCTCTCACATGCATTGGCCAATGGGTCACTGTGGCTGGAGTGAGGACTGTCCCCAGGGAGAATAAATGGCTGCACTGAGCAGCCACTTTGGAGTGCCCCAGGCTTCTGATGCCTAATGTGTTCTCCAGCACCTGAACCAGGCATTGTGTTCCATTCCCCAGAGCCAGGCAGCCAAGTAAAAACCTGTTCTTATTTGCAGACTTTTCGAGACCCTCCAGTCGCTCTTCTGGTCTGTGTTTGGTCTGCTCAATCTCTACGTCACCAACGTGAAAGCCAGACACGAGTTCACAGAGTTTGTTGGGGCCACTATGTTTGGGACCTACAACGTCATCTCCCTCGTCGTGCTGCTGAACATGCTCATAGCCATGATGAACAACTCCTACCAGCTCATTGCTGTAAGTTATCTCATTCTTTCTCTCTTGCCTTTTATTTTTCTTCCATGTGCCTCATCTGTTTGGCTTGCAGCAAATGCGTATCTTCTGGGATGCTGGAGGCTGCTGCCTCCTGCTTTTGACAGCAGATAGTTGGGATTTCTACTCACTAGCCTAAAATCATGCTTGCAGAGGAGGTTTTGCTCAGTTTGTAATGCTACCTCAGTGGAAAAGGCTTATCAGCTGTGATCCGCCCTTGTCACCTCACTGGTCACCTTGGCATGAGCAGCTGATTTACTTGGCAGCAGAGAGGGTATCTAAAAGGGAAGCCTTTCCACTGCTTCTTGATGTTTGGCTTTAACTTGGGGTGCTATTTTTTCCCCCTCTCTCCTGTTACTGTTCTCTCGTTTGAGAATGTGTCAGAAGCCCAGTCCTGTAATTTCTTACTCCACAGTCTTCCCACTGAAATTAGATCATTGCCATCTGTAACACCAGCCAGCCTCCTGGCAGCTGACACTCTGGACCCATAATCTCCGAGCCACCTCAGCGCAGGATGGATCTGAGCTGCCAGTTGGCTGTAGCGCCAGTTTCAGACCTTATCTTCATTTGAATGTTCAGAACTGGTCTCTACTGTAATCTCATTCTGTGTACCTAAAAGCCAATCTGCACATTGATGATTAAATTTGTCAACAGATTGAAAACTGCAGCAGCGTGGCCCTGCATTTTAAGGCTGTTCAGGTAAATTGCACAGACAGTATGGAAGGAAGTTAAATCTTGTGTGCACAGTACTTAAGGTAAATCAATGGGCACTTACTTTCCAGTGCTGACACCTAACATGATAGGTTTAGAGCTAGTGAGATGATGAAGTGTTACATCACCTGTGAACAGAAACAGGAGTTGGGAAAGTCATTCGTCTCCTCAGCTGCTCACTCAGTAGAGACGCCATGGAGACTTCCTTCTCTGCTCTTGGATTTACTCTAGAACATGAAACAGAGGAAAAATAGAACCAGCACCAGCTCTCCTACTGTTTTCATTCCCAACTTCCTGGACAAATCTCTGGGGAAATGTATGGGTGAGCTCCTTTCCTGGCTAAAGCACACAGAGAGTATTGAGCTGTCTGCTGGAGCAGGTTCCACAACCGCTGTTTTGAGTGGCTTATAGATTTAGTTACCTGGCCACACTGAGCACAGACCCAGTCAAACCGGTGATACTTTTGGACACCTGATCTTTATCACGTTAAAAAGTATGAGAAAAACTGGACCATTGACCTTCCAAACAAGCAGAAAGGCAGCTTATCACCAAGCATCAGGGAGCTGTATCACTCTTTCAGTGCTTTAAGTGCTTTCTCTTTGTTCAGTGCTACTCCTCACATTCCAGGGAGACTGGAATGAGGGGCAGGAAACAAAGATACTCTCCTTGGCCTTTTTCTTCCATTCCCCTTCCTTTATTGTCATCAAATAGGCTTGTCACTGACAGAAAGCCCAAACCTAAGATTGGCTAAGAACAGCAGTATTTTCCATTCACTGGGACACAAGCCACTCATCATTCTTTTCCCTGAGTAATCTGAGTGGTTCAGTGACACATTACAAACCATCCCACATGACTTCAGAGACCCATCATAACAATTAACTGAAGTGAATGGTCCAGAGCAGGACTTGTGTTAATGTTTTTGGAGCAGTTGGGAACAGTGAATTGCTAGATCAAAAGGTATTGTTTGTGAGAGGCCTGAAGGTGAAGGACTGAACTCACCGGATAAACCTGGCCATAACACCCAACTCAGCATGCATGAGTCCTTACTCAGAGGAAGGATAGTGAAAATGCCACAGGATATTCTTTGTCACTTAAGCTGTCATATCGCAATGGCTGCTGAGAGCAGTGACATTGCTTGGGAAGGCAAGAGCAGTCACTTCCAGCCCCTTCTCATGCAGCTTGGTGTTTGAAGCTAATAGTTCTGCGTGCTCACAGCATTCTCTTGGGGACAAGTTTTCCTCGTGTGACAAACATCAACTAATCTCTTCCCTGAAGAAAACAACTCATTAATAGATGTTGAGCTTTACAACTGTGGGTCAGTTTTTAACCTCCTGTAATCAGCTCTACCCCTTTCCGAATCACAGTAGACTGGTTGCTAGACTGGGCATTTCTTCCTCCTGGTATTTAAATTACATTGAATACACATGGAATGACAGTGTTCCAGGGAAGAAGGAGGGGAAAGCACCCTTGGGGTGGGGTGGAGGTCTTCTCAAATACCTCAATAGGAAACCTCGTGCCATGTGCAGGGCTCTGCAGAGAAATAAGATGAGCTAGACCCCAGGGATGAGAGTGCATCTCTGCTGTTGATTTCCCTGCAATGGAGTGATCAGGACACCTTAATTAATTCCACTTGCTAATGAGCCAGTGGCACTGCTGCAATGCAAACAGTCTTTCTCCCCTGCTTTTTTGCAGGGACAAATACATTAATGCATTTGTAGCAGTTACTCATCAAGTTAGCGTCTCTCCATTGTGTCCTATATATACATCAATTCTGCTGTGTATTTCTTCACTCTTCATTGTGTCTCCGCAGTGTGGGGCTTAGGGCTTGGTAGTTAATTAAGCACTGTAGGTGCACACCGTGAAACCACAGGGTTTCTGTGGAAGGCAGAGCAAGGCAAGCAAAGAGTAAAACCTCCACACCGCTCTGAGTGATTCCTCACCCACAGGAGGAAGAATTTTCCTGCCATAATTTTGTTGGGGTTTTTTCACTAAGCTATTTCAGCCTTCAATAAACACATCTTTCCGGGGGTACCCCGAGGCAGTTTCAATATTGATTTCTTTACATGCAGCCCATTTTTCTCTTTTGCCAAACTGGTTCCAGCAGGCACAATGTTTCACTGCCAAAGCAAACAAAATCCAAACGCACACCAGCATTTGCACCGCGTCTGTACTCGAGGATCAGAATGTTCTATGCAAGCAGCACATAATGCGGCTGGGTGTGATGCACGGCCGGGTCCTCATCTCAATACCTTCCAGACGTGACAGAAATACCCTCACCCGATTAATAGCAGAGGAATACGTCATGATGGCAAGAGGAAGGACAATGGAGCTTATCTGAGAGTAGCCAGGTGACTCCGTCATTCCTAAGTGGCAGAAAGTAGCAGAGTGGGTAATGAGGACACTTCATCTGATAGCCTGCTTCTCATAGGAATGCCACTTGCCTGTTAATAGTTACACAATCTGTAATCTCCTCAAAGTAATGTGGCAGTGGGTGGTACTGGGGGTCCAAGGGTACATTTTGAAGGGAATTAGCAATCTACACACATTTTCTGAAAGCATGTTCCTTATGGACACATCTGTGATGCTCTGGGAAGTCATGCAGGAATTAGTCACTGGAACTGTACCAACAGTTCTGACTCTGCAGCTGCAGGAGCAATGGGAAGCAAGATCGACTGAAGAACAGCAACTAAGACCCATCTGCAGGAGGAAAACCGTAGGGGTGTGAACTCCTAATCTGAGTGCCAGGTGAGTGAGAGAGATAAATGGCACACACCAGCACTGCAGCATGAGGCATCCCACTGACATACCAAGCAGAGATTTAAGCATCTCGAATGGAGCTTTCAGGTGTTTTAGGGAAGTCCAACAATGCTTAATACTGCAGGGATAGCAAAATAGGCCCGGGAAAAATGACCTCTAACTACTGCGAGTGAAAATGAAGGTGTTACAGCTTCAAGTGTGTCATACACAGTGTATGTGTGATGTTGGAATGACTTCACTCTAGCAGTAGGTATTAAGTTATGAAATTGGTTTGTGTTTTGTATCCTCCTGTTGGTTTGCATGTCTTGTTATTTTAAGGTGGCTCATCTCAGGCAGCTGTGACTGCAAAAGACAGTATATATATATATGTATTATATGTAGTATATATAGTATATATATACTATATATATATATACTCTGGGAGTGTATGACCAAGCTGAGACACAGTTGCCAGTGTTAAGACTGGAGAACTTAGGGCCTTGGACACCAAACTAGGATTGCAGTTTTAAATGATGGCATGAGATAGATCGGATTAGTACATATTGTGGAGGGCAGGAATGAAAATGGTAAATACTTGGCATAGCAAAACAAAACCAGTGCAGTAAACAGAACCAGTTGGTATGTGCAGCTAAAAATAAGTGATTGCTTTCAGGAGATTAAGCGTAGGGATATTGTACATGGAATTCTGCATAGCAGAGAACTTAAAATGAAAGCACAACGGAATATAAAGACTTCTCAGCTCCCTGTTCCATTGTTTCGAAGATAAACTTGGATTTCCCCCAGGCAGTAGTATCGAACTTTTCTTCATCTACAGAGACCAAGAATTCCTCCAGTTTTCTGCACCAATTGAGCTGCCTCAGTAATTGGGCCCCAGTCTAATTCACAACAGCAGCAGAAATTCTTTTCCCCACTGTGATCTATGACCCTTAGTACTGTCAAAAAAATGTTGCACCTCCTCTGCTTGCGTGACCTGCACAGTTATTACTTGGTGGCTTTGCCAAGGAAGAACTTTATGAATCTATAAACTTAGTTCAAGATTCACAGCTCGACAGGGTTTGGGGTGGTAGATTGCTTCCCTGTAGAGGAAAGGCCAGCTCCAAAGCCTGGACTCAAATCAAAGCTATTACAAAGCATCAGGAAGGTGTTCATCTCACAAGCCCTCAGAACCATTCATTTGAATTTCTTAGGAGAAATTGAGATGTATTTGGTTTTTAACTCTGTCATACGGCAGGAAATGAAATTACGCTCTTATTACACTCCTGTTGCCAGTATGAGCTGGGATTAATGTCTCCTGAAGTTTTTTATGATGTAGCAAAACAACGAGGCTCTGGAAAGGGGATTAAGTGGTTCTTTGGTATGCTGGATGAGTGAAATACCACTGATTGTCCCCCAGTTTTATGGCCCTTGGGGACTCCAGCTGACCAGCACACGCATCCCATTCCGTTGGTCCCTGCCCGCAAGCAGGTAATATGCTCCAGTCTTTGCTTCATTCTGCAATGCAGCTGTAATTACCCAGATCTCAATTACTGCGCTCCCAGAACTCATCTGTGTCATCAGTAATAATTAATTGAAATCACAAGCTCTCCTGAACTTACTCGAGGCCTTTTGTGACATTTGGACGGGCAGATTCCTGGTACATCTCCCTGCGGAGTGCGATACGTGTCGAGAAACGCTGGACCCCTGCTCTGCAGGTCCCTCCTGGGTAGCTGCAGCACATCTTTAGAGGAGTGGGATCGATTCCAAGGCTGGATGCTCTCTCTGTGGCTTTTGACTCCATGTGAGGGACCCCCAGGATCTTTTCATTTGAAAGTGAAGGGAAAAACATTGGAGCAGCAGCGTGCCAGGATGCTGCCGTACAGCTAGTGGCCTGTGTGTGAAATTAGCCCGGAGCCTTGCTCTAGACTGGCAGGCAGTTAATTACTTTTTGTTAGCAAGCTCAAGTATTCATTTGAAGGTGTAGAACTGTTTGTCTTTTTGCTGGCTTTGGCCTAATTACATATAACCCATGGACTTGAATCAAGTTGTTAATATTCATCTGGTGTTTGCAGAGCCTCTAAATGGAAGCACTCAGTGTGCTCTCACTTCACACGCAGCATCTTTCTTCTGCTGTTAGACTAGACAAAACTAATTCTCCATCCTAGAGCCCAGTCCTGCGGACCCCTGCCCACAAGAGTATTGTCACCAGGATCAGCAATTTAATGCTGTCTGGTGTTTTCAGTCTTTGAAACCCCAGATATTTACCTGACCCTGTGTACCACCACGGCCAAACCGTTTCGAGACTTAGATAGAGGAGCAAAACCATTACATTTAAGTGAAAACCAAGACAAGCTTGCAGTCTACAGGTGACCCCTGGTCTGGATCAAGATATTACAGGGAATTTGCTGGCATTTACACAGGTGGGGTCTGGTTTCTGTGGTGTAGTTAACACACCAGTGCCCTGCATGACAGGTCAATAATTCTCTGCCCATTTCGTGCAAAGCAGCGCAGCAAGGTTTGCTCTTGCTACATGACAGGAGCTGAAGTATCCAGATGGAACCACATAGGTTGCAGCCCCCTGCATTATCCCATCTTTTATTTAGGCCTGACAAGCTCAATTAGCATTATCTTGCGCTTCTGCATCAGGGGGACTTCAGCTAAAAAGGCAGAAGAGGAAAAGTGAAAGACAAAGGAAAAAATACTGAGGAAAAACTAAAAGGTTTTATCTTGGAAGAGCTTTCACCTGATGCTGAGCAACGGCAACAGCTATATTAAGAATCCCCTGAAACACGGCTGTTTAGATGCCAGTGGTTCAGAGATTTCCTTTCCAACACACTGCAGTCCAGCAAATAAGTTGATGCTGATTTTATTACAGGTGAAATCGGAAACATACAACTCCATCCAATTAAACAGGAAGCTGTCTCATAACCTGGATGCTGTGCTGTGGCTCCTGGGCTGTGTTCCTGTTCTCTGGTCCGACTCCTGCAGCTCAGACCCTGCTTTCAGAGTCAGCTTCATCTCCTGACTCAATGCTATCTGCATGGCTCAGGATTCACTTGGAGACTTGAGTGATCTCATACATTTATAATGGGTCCCTTTCTTCAGGCTCAAGGATATATTTAAATGACTGGGATGTTAACTAAGATTCTTCAGCAATTACTCAATTTTTGGCAGCTCAGCTCAGCTCAGGCACTGCATTAAGTGACTGTACAAGCAGGCTGACTTCCAGAGGTGTTGGGCACCTGCTTCTCCTGCTGGTGGGATGACCTTTAGAGACCCAATACAAGACACAGTCAAGCTTTGCTGAGGAAAGGCAGCTTATGACCAGCCAAAAATACTAAAGCATCTGGTACCTGCGTACATGTACACGGTTTCATTCCTTGACTATGGGAGTTTGGGAACGATCATTTCATTCTTTTAGCTACTTGAGGAAGGGACATAAGGGCTGTGTACGTATGTGCACAACAAGGTTGTAAAGCATAAGGAGAGGCAGTGAGGCAGAGCTTTGCTTCAGGGAAATGCCAGCAACACAGGAAAACAGCTCCCAGGGTCAGGGCAATCAGGAATTCACTGTGTTCCTACCCTCCTGGTCAGCTCCATGTGACCGGGTACTCTGGTGAGCATTCCTGTAGCACAGGAGTCAGCAGCAAAGACCATCAAATGTAGTTGGTGATTGTTCATAATCAGAACTCGGATCTGAAAGTTACAAATGGCCCTAAAGAACACACTAAATAAACTGTTAGACCTTTAAATACCTGTGTTGCAGTTGACATCACGTTTCCCAGCTGATAGCACAGCCTTATTATGGCACAGAGTGGATCCTGGGATCTGGAATCCACATGTGGATCCGAACTGGGATTTTTCTTCTTGGGAAGAATTTCTCTTGGAAACTAAAAAAGAAAAAAAAAGGATAAATGAATAAAGAGGGGTACAGAGAAATACCTGATTCTCCCCTGTATCTGGCTCCCACCAGTCCAGCAATGGATTTGAAGACAATTCTTCCTTCCTGCTCCAATCCCAGGCTGACCTGCTCTGCAGAAATAAAGGTAACGTTCTGGAAATAGCGCAGGTAGACATGAGGGGAAGTGTTTTTCTTTATGCCATAGAATTACATCAGCACTCTGGGTTAGACCTCAGCCCACCAGTTCTCTATGGGCATGTGTGAATTACTTGATTTTGACCTGGCTGGAGGTAGTTAACATCACCAGCACAGATGCACCTTATCTCTCCGACCTTCAGCATGAAAAGAGGCTCTTATCAGGCAGTGATAAAGGAGAGGGAATGGATGGCAGGAAGAACAAAGCCTTAGTGATATCTTTTTCATTGTTTCTTCCCGCTGAGGCTTTTTCAGAGAGCTGTTTGTCTGCAGGACCTTCCTCCTGCTCTGATTTATTTGGCTATTAAAATAAAACCTGAACTTTGCTGGAAGATGACTGAAATAAAAAAGGTGTCAGTTCACATAATTTAACTGCACAAAAACCAGCACAATCCACAGTTCGGTGTTTTCGCAAGTATAATATTCCCTGGCCTTCTCATTAGCTATCTTTGTTTCTATCCAATATGCTGGTGGGAGATGAAAGGTAATTGATGTATATATATAACCTAAATACATTGTGGAATGTAGCGCAGTCAAGCTATAATAAAACTGTTAATTATGAGTATATTCTGCACATGGAAGATATAAATAGCAGAGATGCTAAAGCATGCATTTTCCAAGTACAAACAAACTGATTCCCCAGAGCTGGGAAAATCAGCCAGCTCACAGTATGGAGATCGTCTTGGGAAGCTCACAGTATGGAGATCATCTTGAGAAGTGATGGCCAGAGGAGCAGCTCATCAGGGAGGTCTGCCTCTGGTGTCCTCCAGAGTGAATGCCTGCGCTCTTGGCTCCACCTTCTGTATTCACAAGCCATTAGTGGCTTTCTTTTCTTCTGCAACCAGTGACCTGCACCATTCCCATGATTTCCAAGTCTCTTTGGCTAGACTCCAAGGATGGAGTCCTTTATCCAACTCATTACACACTGCTGTTGCTGTGCTCTGTGTCTTGTTGACGCTGAACTGGCCATTCCCTTGATCTGTTTGAAGTGATGGACCTTGGACACTGCAAAATTAAGGCAGCTTTTCCTCCTTTTCCCTGTTACAGTGTGGTCTTTTATGGTCTTTGCCATGCCTGGGATCTTTATCCAGCTTCCAGGGTTTTAAGGCTCAGTCCCATTGATGGCTTGTTTGAAACGTCTGCTGTGCGAAAGTTCTGATTTTGGTGTTCTTCTCCCTTGCGCTCTGTTTGATTCCCGCACCTAAGGGCCTTGCTGCCATCTGCCTGTACCAGATAAGGAGAGTGCTTTTCTGGAGTTAAGTCTTTACCTGTATCCTAGCACTGGTGTTTCTTTATGAGTATTTCTTCAGGACCTGCCTATGTTCCATATCCTTTTCCTTTCCTGTGCTGGAGCAGACAGGGCCACAGGGAGCAGCTCTCCCTGCCCATGCCCATGCCCGTGCTGAGTGCTCACGCACGGGCTTTGCTCTGCAGCTCTCCAGGCACCTTTTCCCTCTCATCTGAGTGCTCCTTCACTTTGTATGTGCTGGTTTGAGTCTGCTGGGGGCTGGTTCTCTCCAGGCTTTGCCACTTGCCCCTCTTCAAAGCAGTGTGGGTCTGTCCCGGGGCCACCACAGCTCCCATGGTATGGAGGGCTGGTGAGGATTGCGTTTGCTTTACCCAGTCATTTTGTGCTAGGCAGCGCTTCCATCTCTTCTCTGGCTGCCTCATTCCCTCACTGTTCTAATTGCTTCTTCTACTGCTGGATTGTCCTCCTCTAGTAATTTTTCTTGTATTTGAGATTGATCCTATTAAGTTCTTATCCTTCAGTATGTCATCCCCGGCTCTGAAAGCAGAGTCATTTGTTGGCAGCTGCAGCTGAATTACCTGTGCATTAATTGCCTTTGTAGGTGCCTGATTTCTCTCACAGACTTTTTCTTTCTTTCTGTGACATATTTTTCTTCGGAAGCCATCAAACACCGTTTACCTCAAATAGGCTTTTGCTGCTCGAAGCTCTGAGCTCCTCATTAAACCCCCAGGCTCTGCTGATGTTACCACCAGGTTGCCCAACACATATTGCAAAATGAACAGCTATGAAACTGCACAAGAGTTGTCTGTGTCAGGTTCTGTAAAGCATAACTTTCCCCTGACCCCTTTTCTGCAATGCTTCCTATTCAGGACACACCAGGGTATATTGTTTGTGCTAGCCTGCCCAAAAGCTGATGTATTTTCTGTGCTGTTTCTTGCTCTGGATTTAGCAAAGAGCAATAAAAAGGCATGTGAGATGGAAATACACTAAAGAGAGTTCTCCATAGGCTGCAGATGAGATGTTGGTGTTCACCTGTTTAAGGTGAACTCTGTGTCTCCTTCTTCCTTCCTAGAGGAAAACACTACATCCTGGGCACTCCTGATCTCATGGGGCTGCTGCTGACACCTCCTGGGACAGCAGCAGGGAGCAATCCTGCTACTCCGGATGCAGAAATGCTTCTGCCAGCATTCCCGGCACAACTGGAAAGCTGCCTGTGCCTCCTTCCAAGGCACTCAGCCATGGCCAGACAGCCTGGTCCCAAGGGCATCGTCACAGCCATCTGTGTCTGCATCTGACAGGCAGCAGCCTGATTTCCAGCTTAGCCCACTGACTGTTGTATCATAAAACACAAGAAAAGCACACGCAGCCCTTTTTGTGCCAGCTAGAAAGATGCTGGGTATCTTTATTCTTTCCTAATGGGCATGGGGAGGATTTGCATCCCAGGAACACACTTCTCAGTGCACCTCTGTGTAGAATCATAGAAGAGTTTGGGTGGGAAAGGACCTTAAGATCATCCAGTTCCAACCCCCTGCCATGGGCAGGGACACCTCACACTAAACCACGGCACCCAAGGCTTCGTCCAACCTGGCCTTGTAGTCCAGGGGAACTTAAGTAACTGGTTATCGTGTTACTGTTTTGCAGTGAGTAGGTCTGAAGCTCTCGGGGTGCCTGGCTGCTGAGCATTACCATCACCTCAGCATCATGTTTTAGCTGTGTCTTTGTACCACAGCACTAATCCAGAGCTAACCACAGTGTGCAACAGCAGAGCGCAGGGAGCTGCCACAATCCATTTCATAACCTGAACTCAGAACTACCCCAGTGCTTCCAGGGATGCTAACTCAGCAGTCATGAGATCGGGCTCCTGTGCCCCGCTTTGCCACAGGCTTCCCACAGGACAGCCCCGTGTTTCAGCTCCTGTGTGCTGGAAGTAGCAGCCTTTTCGTCCATCAACTTCCCAGCCACAGGGGAGCTGAAATAACACACAAAGAGGTTTGTGAAACTAGAGGCTGCGGCAGTGGAAACCACCTCACGCAGAGGACTGGAACAGCCTGGGTCTGTGCTGGCTGGGTCAGTACCAGCTGAGAAACTGGCTGTTACTTGGCAAAGGATGATCGAAACCATATGGCCCAGCAAGGAGATGGTGATGGAAATCTTTCTAGCAAAGGTTTGACGAGATGTAAACAACAGATTTTCTACCCAGAGATGGAGATGAATACTGGAATTACCCCGGACCATTAGTGTAGCAGGTAATGACATAAAATGTGGCACATCTGCAAATACATCACTTTGAGTGAATTAGAAAATCCTCACAACTGCTACAGTAAGATGGCTGCAGCGATCCCACAGGGAAATCTTTATGGGAGATTAATTCTCACTTCAAATGGCAGAGACTTGCAAGAGGATTCTGTGGCCGGTATGACACATCCACGCTGTGATAGTAAGTCACACATCCCTTTTGTTCTCACGGAGAAGCCCAGGGCTGGTTTCTGAGTTTATGTGTTCTTTGAGCTTGCGGGCTTGGCCCCTCTTAAGAAGGGGAATGTTTTATAGCTGTAATGATGAGCAGTGCTTGAAAGTAAACGGTGATGAGAACAAGGGCAAGAGCAACAGAAGCTCAAAGAGAGGACAGTGAAATCCAGACTCGGTTTTAAATTCCTAGCAACAAGGTCACGCTCTCAGCATTAGTGGATGCGTGCCTTTAGCTTATCATGAGCGTTACCAAAGAGTTGCCACCCGAGAGCGCTGTACGGGACAGCGAGGAGTCCGTCCGTACCGCTGAGCGACCGGGGTCTGTGCCCGCGCCGCCTCCTGCCCTCCCTCAGGAACCCGCTCCACTGAAGCCTCCCGGGTTGTGTCCGTGCGGGATGTCCCTGGGAGCGGGCTCCGACACCCACCTCCCGTGACCCACACTTAAATCAGCAGGGTCCGGGCTGGCAGTGCTCAAGGCCAGGTTGGACACAGGGGCTTGGAGCAAGCTGCTCTAGTGGAAGGGCTCCCTGCCCACGGCAGGGCTTGGAGCTGGATGAGCTTTAAGGTCCCTCCAGCCCAAACCATCCTGTGATTCTATGAGATGCTCCAAAAACCTGGAGCACATCTGGTGATCCCCATGGCCATGTTCACAGCCAGCGCAGTGACCGAGATACCGGCTGTAGCTCAGGAGTGCTTCAACTCTGAATTGGGTATTGAATGACTGGTGAAGCACTGTGTTCCTGGTACTCACCACAGGAGAGTTAGGAAAACTGTAGTTTTGTGTGTAGGTTTCAGTGCTTATAGCACTAAAGAGAGCTCTAACGAAGGAAATGGCTTCCTGGCACACACAGGCATTCTCAGTAAAACTGCAATGTCTCTTCACTGTGTTTGCAACACAAAACTGCTGCCAGGAGCCCTCATCTGATTAGTTCAGGTCCTCAAAACATCGAGGTGAGTAATTGAGACAGGCTGGGCTTGTAAACCCTGGGGAGCTCACAGCAGCAGCAAACAGAAAAGGTACTTTGAGCTTTGTATGGAGAGCCTGTCTTTTCAGAGAGCTTGTGTTGCACTCACC